TTACATTTTCAATTAGTTTTTAGTCGTACAACCAAAGCGAAATAGATTAAAAAACTTTATAAAAATAATTTTATGACCAAAATTACTAAAAAATAAAACCAGCTTAATTTGCGAGCAGCACATCATTTTCCTTCCTTGTTAGTTATCTTCGAACAAATAACTACAAGCGAATAAAAAAAATATACGTTATTGCTGCTGAGATTATTTTGCACGTCATAGTACCCAATCAGGTTATGAATGAAAATTTTATTTAAAAAAGAAAAATCTGTTTTTACGGCAAAATGCTGAGGGCGACGCTTTCGGTGTTGTCATATGTCACACTCTAATAGCGTTCTTTAATAATATTGTTTGTGTTTACCTCTTATGACGTAGATTAAGACATAAAGGAAATATTAAATAGATTTATATGAAAAATATTTTGCCCATCAATCTATCATAATGATTTTCTTGATTTCTACTTTTCACATTATCCAGTGATAAGCTAAACCAGTGTAGTCAATACGAAGTGTTCCAACAAGAGCAGAAAATTTTTATTTCAAATAAAATATATCTTCTTATCATTAACTATAAACATTTGTATTTAATTTTTAAAGCATATAATTAATTTTAATTTCATCAATTTTTTGGTTTTAAATCAGTTTTAATATTACGAATTATGTATGATTTGCTGTTTAGAGCAAAATCAACGGTTCCCACCAGTCACTGGGTGACTATAGTTTGTCTAAAGTAAGAACTCCCCTAACCATTCGTCTGAACCCGTGGTGGCGGTGACTATGGTAACGAGGTATAACTATTCCAAGTAGGGGTGCGGGGTTATTGTTTAGGACATCGGGTTGGCGAGCGAAAGGAAATCTTTTTCTTTGGTTTATTGTGTTAGTCCTAGAGTGAAGAGAAGCTACCCTCCCTGAAATGCGCTATTCCTGTTTCCATAGCAACAGACGGCTTCAGTCTTTGTGACTCAGTTTTTGTTCTTACGGTAGGCAAACTATAATTATAACGCGTGATTGTCTGATAATGATAACATAAATGAATAAAATGAAAATCATAGCAATAATAAATTAAAATATAAAATTGTCTGCCAATCGCCACTTTTTTTCCTCGAAATTATGCGCTTTATTATTTTTTTTCTTTATTGTGAATATTTTGTAATAATCTGAAAATAACTTTATTTCACACTTGTTTCTTAAAAGTTTTCTTCCCTTTAAAGACGAACCTTATAATATTAACCATTATTGGAGAAATAATGGAATGGAAATGCCACGTTTCAATTTCACTAATAAAATAAACGCTAAAAATGCCGCAAGTGGGATAGGAAATACCATAAGGGTAGAGCAAGCAGCAATTTAGCTGGGGTTCCATCATTCCAGAACTGTAGAAGGTCCAGCAACAATGGAAAAAAAAATTCTTTTTCAATTAGAATTTTTTTTTCTTTTAAAGAAATTTTTTTGTGACTGTTTTCTATTTCAACCATTAAACATTTCTTCTATTTCAACATAGATGCAATAACCTAAGCTTGGATCCATAAGGTAGTTGTTCTCCCCAGATTCAATCATATTCTATTCACGTAATTCTATATTTATCTATTCATATGATTCTATTATATATCTATTCATATGACTCTATTATATATCTATTCCATACCTATCAAATTTTAATCCTTTCGAGGAGGATTTTTCCCAGTGGTAGTAAAATAGAATTTAATTTACAATTTTATACAGAAACATACGCTGTATTTTGAAAATGCTTATGCGGACTATCACGGCAGTATTACATATTAATGTATATGCTTAATTTTTTTAAAAATAATGGTGACCAAAAAGATTATAAATTAAGTTTATAAATACAGGGAATATGCAGAAACATACATTTTACTACCACTTTAAATATAGAAATAAAATTTTAACCCAAATGCGTAAAAGTTTGCAGATATACTATTCATATAATTCCATTATATATCTATATCTATTTATATAATTGTTTAAAAAAATAAAAGGAACTTTTGAATATTTTTACATGATTTTTTTAGCTAGCAATAAAAAAAATTATATATATAANTATATTTATATATATATAACTTACTCCTAAAATCCCCTCATTGATAAAAATTCAATGATTAAATTCGGAATTAAAATTAAAAAAAATTTAAGTAGTTCATTTTCAGTAATCAAATTTAAAGAAAAAGAAAAAAAATCGTATTGTCAATTCTTATATATTATGTAAAAACTTATCTAGATTGTAAGTGCATCACTTTTCTAGGGGCCCCTTAAAATATTTCAAGGGCCTTGCCAAAGGCAAATTACTTTACAAATTGAAGCTAAGTGTTTCGTAATCATGACGTCAATTCTCAACAAATTTCAAAATTACCGTAGCATTGCTGTATTCTCAAAATCCATTGTAAGTTTTTCTTAAAACTGGTAAGAATCGGCAATCAAGTAAGCTCTAAAATCCTTACTTTATGCAATCTCCTTTCATTATTAGCAAATTGAGTTTATTGAGATTGATTTTAATTGCTTGCTACTGGAATTGTAATAAGGAAATTTAAATTGAAATATCCTATCAGAAGAAACACAATTTATCTAAAATGTACTAACTAATTCAGCTAACTAAAATGGAACAATTATTATTATTCTCCCGTTCGTTGAATGGAATAACTTCCTCGTTATTTTCCCACGGTCAAGAAGAGAAAACAAAAAACGAAAATTACGGAGAATCATTCATAAGAAAAAACGAGAACTACATAAATATTTCGAAATTGCATAACAAGTTGTTATTTTTACTTCTGATCGAAACACCAGTCTCATATATTAATTAATAGTAACTTCCAGGAGAATAATAAAAAATATTTTCATTACGCGTCGCAAAATTGCGACGCGTAGCAAACAATATTACGTATGTCATTGCACCATATCGCACTGTTATCCTTACATTACAGAAATGACAACTACAAAACTGCCTTTAAAACATTATTTGTATCATTTTTAATTAAATAAGTAGATAAATTATTGTGATTGATTGCATCATAGCTAGAGCTGACGATATCGGAATTTCGATATAGCGATGTATCGTCAANGTAAGCCTCATGCTATACTTTGTGGTGCATGAGGAGTTTTAAGTCGTTTAAATTAAATAAAAAAACATTATTTGTATCATTTTTAATTAAATAAGTAAATAAAAATATTGTGATTGATTGCATCATAGCTAGAGCTGACGATATCGGAATTTCGATATAGCGATGTATCGTCAAGATGTATACCAAAAAAAAAAAAAGATTAGGAAGCATTGATGAAAGTAACAAGATGCTTATGCGTATTATGCTGTTATCTAAATTTCAAAAATTAGTAAAGTATCTATCTGGAAACAATACAAACAGTTTCGTGTAAATATGCCCCTTTTAAAATACGGTTGGCATATCTCGATATTTTTCTTAATCCTTTATTCCCTAGTTACATCGAAAAATTAGACGTTACTATGAAACTTTAAATTTTCAACCTTATTAACCTTATAACACACGAATCTCAACACTGCATTCGTTAAGATTGGTAAAACTTAAGATTTGAAAGTGGAATAAAGAAATAAAGTCTCGCGATTCATATTACATTGTTTATTTTCTTTGATTATGATCGATGGTATTTAAGAGTAAAATTAATAAAAAAAAGTAATAGAATACTTTATTGATTTTTTCGATTTCGTGTTCGATTATAATACTTTTTATAAAAAAAGGAAGAAGAAAAACACCTGTTTGTCTTCAGGTATTGTTAATAAAAAAAAACAATTATTTACTTTTGAGATTTAAAATTAAGGGCTATAAATAACGGTAATCATTAAAATACAGACGCAACGCCAAATCGGGTAATCAGTACAAAAGTGAAAATAAAATTTAAAAAAATGGAAAAAAAAATCTGACAATTACTAAAACGGTACAAATAATTAAAAAAAATTTAAAAAATCCAAAACGGACATAACAAACAGTGGAAACAATAATAGGAAACAGTACAAATATGTGATGATGACAGTACAAATAAATTGAACCCGAAGAAATAAAATAGTAAAAAATAAATTCGTTAAATGAACATTCATTTCAGTATAGAATGATATACATATGTTAAGTCTAAAACATTGCTCATAGTTAGTAACGGCAGTGGCACTTGATATTTAAAAAAACATTGATGTCTGGCATACCTGGCAAATGTATACCGGTCAGTGGCACTGATCCTTAAAAAACATCAGTGTAGGGTATACCGGGCAAATGTACACCGGGCAGTGGCACTTATCTAGACCTATTACATATTTCGGACATCTACCAAAGCGACTCTGTGATTGTCGACATTCACCGGAAGTCAACAACCACCAATTTCGATCGTTCACAGTAACATACATAACATAAGAAGGCAATGGTCTAAAATCATTACTGATTGCTCACAGTACCTTCTCATTGGACAGAAAATCACATGGTGTGATTACTAATTAAGCAAAGAAGATCCAGATACATTTGGTTGCCATCACCACAAAATAGCGTTTATAAAAGTATATATTTGCAAATTATTTATTTATTCCTCAACCACATTTTTCTGTAATATTTATTCCTTGTCAATTCTAAATGCTTTTTCCTGTTAACAGTAAATATTTTTATTTCTTTCCAAAACTAAAATTTTAGAGATTTAAGTGGTGTTTGTTCAATTTATTATGTAGCGTAATTCTATAATATTACCAAAACCTTTTACTTTTCATTTTGTGCTAAAATATAGTTACAGTTTCATAATTATTTAACGACAATTAAGGTGATTAAATTTTTTTAATAAATTTTATGTGTTTATTCTACTAAATCTATGAAACCAAATCAGTAGAATTTTGGTAGTTAGGTACTTTATTTACGTCGCCCTAGAGCTACACAATGGGCTATTCGCGACGGTCTGTTTATCGTAAAGGGGTCTATTAATGTGATTGTTGAGCGAAACCCACTAGTATGATATGAAAAATAAAAATCATGAAAAAGTACTTACTTAATCTTCTGCCTAATTTTCTGACGAGAGGAAGCCACGTATTTGTCCAAGACATCGCCGTTTTGGAAATGTTTCAATCTTCGAATGTGTCCAATACCAGTTTAAGAGATCGAAAATCAAACCTAATATAATTAAAAAAAAACAAGCACTTTTAGAAGCGAAAAGATTTTAAAATAACATTTAATTACGAGTACGTCTAAATTCTGTGAAAACAAAAAAGTACGCATACATAAAGATAAAGATGAAATATATAACTTAAAAGTGATAAAAGCGTAAAATGGAACACAATGTAAAGGAAGTTGTACATGTGTTCAGAAGATTAAAATACTCATATATAAAATGTATAGTGTGACAAAAAATATGATGGATACACTTAGAGTTCAATTTTTTTTTTCATTTCAAATTAAAATTATAAATTAAGTTATAAATACAAACGGAAATCTAAACAGACAATTATTATGATACATATTAAAAAAAATCGAAATCGGATAATCATTAAAGTACACATAAAAATTTCCAAATAAATGAGCACGGTGCAAGAAAAACGAATTGTAAAGTTATAATGGCATTGCAAATAAAATAAAAAATAAAAATCGGGTAATCATAGCGGTATAAAGCAAAAATACAAATTGGACGTTAATAATGGTTCAAAATATCAGCATCAGACAGGCTTTATCGGACATATTTTTAAAAAAATCCAAATCAGATAATTATTATTAGTTATGTCATCCCCCGGTCATCCCGGGTAAATAAATCGGACAATTATAATGATACAGTATAAAAATTTCAAATGGATAATCATTACGGTAAAAATAAAATAAGAACTCATGTCGTGCAATTATTTCTTAACGGAGGGTGTGAATTGTTTGAAAATTGATATTGCAACAAATTGATAAATACTTGGTGTTCAACATCTTTATTCTTTTCAATATGAAATATAAAAACAAAAGTACGGCTTTGCCGTGAATCGTTTATTTGTATTTACTCACGTTGTTTGTACGTCATTCTGCTATTAATAACGTGTCTACGATATTGTTTTCAGTCATTTGAATATTGACATATTTTTCTGAATTTTTAATCTGTCTTCAAAACTATTTGTTTGCGGAAAGAAGCCTCAAGGCGTTTATTCGGGAGGGGAGATGTGCGATCAATGTTGATGATGCTCGAAATTACAACCGTTTAAAGTTAAATGTGTAGATTTTTATGAATTTTGAACTTCGAGAAATAAAACAGTTCATTTACTTTTTGCAGGGAAATTTTTTTTTTACTACTGTTAATGTAATATATAATTTTTAAGGTTTTGAAATCTTAGAATGCAGCTCCCAGTTTTAAACATACATTCGAGAATCACAATCTTACACTCATTTTATACGACCTTCTGCGTGATGAAAAATCTTAAGCTTTCAGAGATACTTTATTTTATTTTATAACTGGTGTTGAACAGCCGTACGAATTTTTTGGGTTTACGACTACCAATATTCAATTCCGTAGCCTTGTAATTTTGAGCCCAATTCAGAAGACGAAGGGAACTCCTGACTCAAGTATTAGGAAAAATTTGCCTTCGTGGAAGACTTTTCTATGAAACTAACCCGCATTTGCGTTACACGGTGAGGAAAACTACGAAAAACTTCTTACGGCTATCCCGAAGACAAGGGGACTCTAACCCATGTTCAGTCTACCATATTTAACGTCATCAGTCTATATTTTACGTCTGTGTCAGCGAGCCGGGTGCGGAATTCGTATCATCGCTGGAATTCGAACCCAGTTCACCACATTGGAAGGCAAACGCTCTATCCCCTGAGCCACCACGACTCTGATGAAATTTAATTATTGTAAATAATGTGCGACTTGCATTTGAATTTAATGTATTTAATAGTAATAACGTTTTATTAACTTCTTTATTTTCGACTGCCTTTTCGATGCGAGTCAAAAAAAGACTTAAATACTAGTCTTATTGGATTAACTTGGGAGTTTTTCAATTGATTTGAAAGCGTTAAAACGTTATGAACCCTATAAAAACACCTATAAACATTGTTTCTTTTATATTTTTTCTCCTAGATCTAAAGCAAAAAATCTAATTGAGCAACAAACTCACATTCATTGAAGACTTTTTGATGAAACTACGTTACACGAAGAAGAAAACCACAAAAACTTTCTACCATCATCCCGCAATATGCAAAAAATTCATGTAACCTATAAATATTTAAAATATCCCGTTAAAATATTCTTTGGTATTACGTTTATGATTAACTTGATATGTTTTAGCGTATGCGCTAATGCAAAAAACATGAAAAATAAGTTTTAATTCAATGATTAACCAACTTCAAGCAACTAACACGTTTAAAAGAATAATTCTCAAAATGAAGATTATTCAAAAACACTCACCGGTCCAAGATACAACATCGTGTTGTATTTTGGAGAGAAAAAAATCTGAAACGACTGACAGAATTTGTACAAGGGAATTATATTAACTGACAAATGGTCCAAAAACATTTGAAATTACTATTTTCTGCATCAAAAATAAAAAGATCAAAATAAGTCCAAGGCACAACACTCAACCCGAGATATTTTTGAGAGCTCAAAAATATTTATTATGGACTGTGATTATGGAGTACCGTAAGTAAGTTGTAAGGGTTTTTGTTTGCTTGCTACTTCGTTACATTTTTTATAATAAATTAAGAAGTTAGTCTTCGCATCTTTTACTCAACTTTGTACAGTGCGCAAAAAATTTTATTAATTGAATTTTAAGCATACGACTTTTTTAAAATTTGATTTCTCAGGAACTATTCGACCGATTTCTCTCAAATTATGTATTTTGCCATTTAAAATCGCATTCCTTAAAATGATGTAAAAATAGTATACCTTACAATTAAAAGTTTTTTCGACAAAATAAATATCTATTAAGAGTTATATTTTGCATGGAATTATCTTTGGATAAACCAATTTCATAATTGCGTAAAAAAAAAATTCACAGTAAGGGATCTCAAATTTGGACCTCTTTCCTAACCAAAATAATGGAACTAAATTTCCCAGATTGCTTTGGGGGTCATAAAACCGAATTTTTGGGACAAAAATGAATGTTTATTCAGAGAAAGTGTTGTGTTGTGTTTGATTTCGTAACTTGAAATTTCGTCTGCACTAATTAATCAGTATATTTGAGATTGAACGTAAATATCGAATCATTAGATCAAAAGTTATTCGAGGTGATCCGTTTGTTTTTTTACTAACTGTACCTCGGGAAAGATAGTATAGCAACACGATCTTTTCATTTTTATCATCAGCTGATACAACTCTCCTAAATAATATGTTGATAAGAGATATACGATGATAAAGTAATGTGTAAGTTTAATTTNAATTTCGTCTGCACTAATTGAGTTTGATTAGGTCACTCCCTCGAGGCATTAAGATTGAACGTAAATATCGAATCATTAGATCAAAAGTTATTCGAGGTGATCCGTTTGTTTTTTTACTAACTGTACCTCGGGAAAGATAGTATAGCAACACGATCTTTTCATTTTTATCATCAGCTGATACAACTCTCCTAAATAATGTGTTGATAAGAGATATACGATGATAAAGTAATGTGTAAGTTTAATTTATAACAATTTTAAAGGGGGGACCAACCCGTGTTTCAATAGTGACGTGATAGTGTAAAAAATTGCTCAAGCTCTCCTTAAAAGAAAGAGTTTCTCTTAAATCAAAAGATAAAGACTGTTATAAGCATTAATTTCTTAATCTTTTTTTCGCTTTTACTGAGTTAATATGCTTTTAAACTTAAGCAAATAGGTAAATTGCCTCTTAAACGACTTAAAGTTATAAAAATAATAAGTACAATCACAATTGTCAGCGGCATTTTGAAATGGTTTTATTCTATATCTATTATTTCACAATTTATGTGGTAAGATTAGTCGAGCATTAAGTATTTAGCAATTATATTTTTCCCTTTTGTCCGCCATTTTCATTATTGGATTATTTGATAGAGAAACCCGGATGCTTTGTAGAAAAGTAATCAGATGAATTGCTCGAAATTTCTAAGATAATATAGAAAAAACTCTTTAAAATTTTATAATCATACTCGTTAAGATAAAATTTGAAAGATAACTTGATCTTAAGGTCTTTGAAAATTAAGTCAGAAATCGGTAAAATTTATTCTAACTAACGACCTTTAGTTCGAGAACATGATAATGATGAAGCAGAAATATATTACAACATAGAGCCACATTAAAAGTGAAATTTTAACATCAAACTGTTCCTCAGTATTGTTTCCAGGTACATATTTCCAAGTATCTGGATGGCAACAGAATAAAAATGTCTTATTGCTTACATAAAAAGCGCGAATTTCACTAAAATCGATTCCAGAGCAATTTGGAAATATGGCTTTTCATTATATTCTCCTTAAATTTTATAAAAGAGGATTTGATATTATCATAATATATCGGGGGGAAAATGTATCGTTGTTTGGTCTTATAAAAAGATGCAATTCCGACGCATACAACAATATTTATAACAATGAATTATCCCTTGTTTCCCGACATACAAATAATTGAATTGTTCAGTTAAAGAATATGTTAAGTGGCACCAAATTTACGATTTTAGAAACATATTATCGGCCTGTTTTCTTAACACAATCATTAATAAGTTTAGCATTTAGATATTCTCAAAATCCACAAGAACGTCACATAGTAAGTTTTTCACCAGTTTTTCATTAAACGTGTTATTTTTACAAATTAGCACATTCCTCTAAATTACCAAAAATAAAATTAGATGATTCGTAGAACACGAAATATAAAACTAAGCTTTTGTCTAAGCAATAAATTTCACTTAATTGTGAAAACGCAATTTTATATTTCAGAGTAATAGTAGCATATTAATAATAACAGTGCAGCCTGAATAACTGTAACAATAATTGCAACAAGTCTTCATAGTTAAATTAATCAAAACTTGATTTCTGCTAACTTATTCCATTTCTTAAAAAGATGCCAAAAAATGATAAACGCAGTTATAATTGATAAACTGATAAAAGCGTGTTTCACATAGTTTTTGAGACTTGATTAGAAAGCCATCTGGTGACAGCCGATAATTTTTTTGTAACAAAGACTTTCATTTATTGTTGGTGAAATTG